CTTAAAAGCAGCCTTTCAAGGACACAAATTCACCTCTGATGAAGAAGTGAAGACAGTGGAACATTCATGGCTCACAGCTCAGTTTCATTTTTAAACAAAGGAATACACGAAAGCTTGCTGGCAGATAGATAATGTGTAATAATGAAAAGCAAGGAAATTATGTAAAAACTGATTTATTTATCTTTTCTAAAAGTTGACTAATATCAATTGCACAGCCAGAGTATGGATAATTTTTGACTGACATTTTTGCCAGAAAATTTTTAGTTACTTATTTAAAATAAACAACAGTGTTCTCGTCTAAGACATAGCAACTAGGCCTCACAACAGCCTTGTCAAGATGGTTTTGATTAGAGGACCCAAAACAATTCTGGAGGAATTATTCTATTAAGGCAGTTTGAACAAAGAGCTACAAACTGACCTTTGCAAATAGACGGTATTTACATTTTGCCTTTGGGCCCTTCATTGCCAGTGATCCTCTTTAAGAGTAGAGCACACAGAAAAGCATAGGAACATTACAGCTTCCCTTTTTCGCATGGGAGCCCTCTCATTTTTGCTGCTGTTGGAAATACAATGACTTTCAGACATGGAGGTGGTTGCTGTTATTGAGTGCTGTCAAGTCAGTGCCAACTCACAGGAACCCTATAGAGGGTGCAGACAGCCTCTACTTTACTCTGTAGTATGTGGTTATCACATGTTAAACAAATGCGCTCTGGGCTTAAGTCAAATAATAGAATTTTTATAATAACTTCGTCAAATCCTAGTACTACTTTTTATCTGTCTAAAATCCTAATAAAAAGAAAACACTGATTTTTTTCCCCCCTGATCATGCTCTTTAATTTATGGCTTACTTATGGCTTTATTTATAAGCTTATACCTTAAAGTATGATATGCTTATATTTTAAAAGCAGGTAGTTTTCTTTTTTCCCCTGAGATAATCTTTAAACCTTAAACCAAAAATAACCCTTGAAGTCATCTTAAAACCAAGCAGTAGTTTAGCTTAACCAGTAAGAAATGTCTGCTTTGATCATTATGCTCTTTTAAGAACTTTTTTTATGGGATCAAAGTGACAACAGCAATCGAGAGATTGTACAGGAACCTTAGGGGTTAGTGAATTTATGATAATGGAGGATGAACAACTCAGAAAAAGAGAGTGAGAATTGTTGCACAGCTTGAAGAATGTAATCAATGTGTATGTCGAAATGGTTAGTGTGTGATTTTCTGTGTCTATTCTAAACAACAATAAAAAACAGGTACTTTTCTGAAGATGTGTTAATGAAGCAATCAGGGTGAGGGGAAAGTGGGAGAAAACTGGCTTTCTGAAGGTGGTCTCTGAGCTCCTCACTGCAGAGCTCTTGACACAAAGCCATCTCTGGGAGTCGTGCCACCTGGTGCCTGTGGCAGCCCTGCTTTGGCCAATTCATAACATAATTCACAAGACTTTTAGAAATTGGGACAGCTTGCATTTGTCAGGTTTCATTTTATAATATTCCAGACTCTGCATTTCCTACAATTTTTAAGATCCTATTACTAAACACAGGAGTTCTGGTATGGCACTGTGGATTAATGCGTTAGACTGCAAAGTCATTTGAACTGCAAGGAGGGCGGTTCAAGCTCACCAGCTGCTCCTTGGAAACCCTATACAGGGTCGCTATGGGTCGGAATTGACTCAACAGTACTTAACAACAACAAAATTACTAAACATAAAACATAGATTTAAAGCTTCACAATACTCCTAGAAAGACCTGAGAACAATGCTAAAAACCCATGTCATCCAGAAAGAGCAGAATGGATATAAAAACAGGACGATTCAATATGCTGTCTTTTAGAGACACATCAAAAAGATGGAGAGAGCTAAGAATGGTGAAACAAACTTTGGTTATCTACACAAAATGGAATACTATGCAACATTTAAGAATAACAATGAATCTGCAAAACACCTCACAACATGGCTGAACCTGGAGGACATTATGTTGAGTGAAGTTAGTCAATCACAAAAAGACAAATATTGTATGAGACCATTGTTGTAAAAAGTTAATAAAAGGTTTTCTTACTAGAAGAAGCTATATCTATCACGGTTCAAGGGGGAGGGAGGAAGGAAAACTATTCACAGGCTATAGGATAGACACATATTAACATGTATGACAAAAGAAAACAAAAATCCTCACCACTGGACCAGTAAATAACATTTATATAAATGGAGAAAAGATTGAACTTGTCAAAGACTTCAGTTAGCTCAGATCAACCATCAACAAACACTCATGGAAACAGCAGTTAAGAAACCAAATGAAGTATTGCATTAGGCAAATCTACTGCACAAGACCTCTTTACAATATCAGAGCAAATATGTCAATTTGAGGACTAAGCTACGTCAGACCCAAGCCATGGTATTTTCAATAATCTCATATGCGTGTGAAAGTTGGACAGTGAATAGATGAATTTCAGCTATGGTGTTCAAGGAGAATATTAAAAGTACCATGGACTGCCAAAAGAACTAACATATCTGTACCAGAAAAAAATGCAGCCAGAATGATCCCTAAAAGCCAGGATGGCCAGACTTCATTTCTCATATTTCGGACATACTGTCAGGAAGGACAAGTCCCTGGAGAAAGATATATCATGGTCGTTAAAATAGAAGGTCATAGAAACAGAGGAAGATCTCCAACGAGATGGACTGCCACAGTGGCAGCAGTGATGGGCACCAATGTATCAACAACTGTGAGGTTATTTAGCACAGGACTGGGCAGTGTTTTCTTCTGTTCTGCATAGGGTTGCTATGAGTTGGTATCAACTCTATGGCACCTAATAACAACATGGGTGTTGTATAGGGCAGGCACTATACAAGAGAGGAAGGTGAGCAGAGAATAGATGAAGTTAGTGACAAACATGGAGGAATGAAAGAGCTAAGTGAACAGAGGTAAATACTGTTAACTGTGGGTACATGGAGGGGATTGCAATCATTGCAAGGAAGTGAAGTACGAGTTGATATATGCAAAACTGATTGTCTGCTTTGTAAACCTTCACTCAATTCACAATAAAAAAATTTAAAAACCAAACCATGTCACCTCTAACAAAATCAATGTGATAACTTCTATACAACATTTATATGGTTAAATTAAAAGTAGAATTTAAAATTTAATTTAGAACCTGGACTTCTTACAGATAAGAAAACATCTATTATATTTCAACAAAAAGCCACTCAAGAAACTAACTTCGAATTAGCTCTCTGTATGACCACTAAATTGGTATTCTGAGGTGGAACACTACTTTTGACCTTTTGAATGATGCAAACAGATTCGTTTTATTAGACAAAAAAAAAAAATCCTCTACAAAAACCCTTCTGAATGCTAACCTTAAGAAGCATGATGGTTTTAGAGGTTACTGGATAAAATTTATGAAATAAAGAGCTCACTGCTCAATTTAACATAATTTTTTTATGCACTGAGATAATGACATAAGAAATTTAATTTAAATTATAAGCAAATTTAACAAAATATTAGTATCTATATGATCATCCAGAGTCCTATTTTGGCTCTATGGGATGAACACTGGGCTGCAAATCACAAGGTCAGAGGTTCAAGCTCACCAGCCTCACCTCAGAAACGCTATACAAGGCCTCTATGAGTCAGAACTGACTGGATGGCACTTAACAATAGTCCCCTTTGAATTAAGATTTTTCTGAAGAGGACAAATTATGAATTTCTAATATATAATTTCAGTTGAATACGCAATGCAAGTTACAATAATTGATGTTTGTCTTTTTGAAACCCACCTAATGACCAAGAAGTATTTATAACATCTGCTTTAAGAATCTCTTCTGAGACAAAAAGCTGAATCAATCTGAATGAGGAAAGATTGTAGCATTTTATACTTACCATTTGAGCTTATGATCCAGGCAGCAAAAATTTAAAATAAATAAATAAAATGTGTTATCTTATTTAGCAATTTCTTCATGCTTAAGTAGCCTTTATAGTTCCCCAAAGTACACAAGCGGCTAGCAGATGTTAGTGTTTTCTCATACAGATACATGACCATTATCATAAAAATACCTGTTCTCCTTTTAAATCAACAGCTCTAGTTATTCTTCGTACTACAGGTCCAGCTTAAAACCATGACTTATCTCTGGATTTGCCATCAACAATCCATAGCAAATTCTACTAACTAAATCTCACAGATCACTGTTTGGAATTTCTAGCTCAAAAGACTTAAAGTCAAGCATGGTACCAGGATATCTAATCCAAATCCTCTGTTGGCATCTCAAAGATTTAAAATAAGCTCATGGATACAACTACTATTGAATATAAGAATTATCAGGGTCAAATTACATATTAAAGTGTTTAAGAATATAGATCAGGAGTTAGAAAACTTTTTCTATAAAGGGTCAAAAAAGGCCAAGTATTTTTTATCTATTACAACTACTTAATGCTGCCATTGTAGCGTGAAAGCTATAGACAATACACATAAATGATTGGGTAGCCTGGCTATGTACCCAAACCATTTTATTTTTAAAAAGCAAATATCAGGCTAGATTTGGCTCACCAGTCACAGTTTGCTGATAGAGACTAAAAAGTTCAATAAAACATTGTAGAAGCATAAAGGAGGCCTTCTGAGGAAACCGATAAAGGTACGAAGCAGAAACACAGTGATGACATTACTAAAATGGTCAACAATGCTTTAAATCAAAGGCATTAATCAGATGAACTAAAAACAAATCTACTGACTTTTTCTGCTACTTTCAACTTAATATGCTTCATCATATACTTGAGCTTTCTTTCAAGTTAAAACAGAGCTAAAACAAGCAAACCTTTCCTTGAGTACAGAAAGTGCCACAAACAGGCTAAAATAATTAGGAAGAATATGGCAAAAAGTGAAAGCTCAGTCTATTGGCAAACAGGTCAAACTGATTTACGCCAATTTTTATTTCTAATGTGAAACAATCTATTTAAATTAAAATATAACTTATACTTATTTGAAATTATTTTTGTATAAAAGTAATTACTTACAATCATGGGAAGTTTGCGGCTATCTCGATATAGGTTCATGTAACCAACATAAAGCAGAAGAGCAGCAATGCAATAGAGGAAGACAAAGACTGCAAATGTGACATAGAACTCTGCAGAGGAAGAGTAGTCTCCTATAAGGACGTAATCACTCCATTTGATATCACACATGTTGACTTTTGGAGGCACCTGAAACGATGCCTGGTTCAACCTATTTAAAAAAAAACAAAAGACTCTAATAAATTCATGAATTACTAGACTTTCCCAACAGAAGAGAAAGCCTAGTAATTTAAATATTAAACATAAATAGAATATTGAAATGGCATTAAAGAAATATCCCCCAAATATATTCAAAACATGTTCCTTTTGGGTGAAAAAAAGTAACTTTCAAGCTCAGATAATAACTTCCTACAATAATATAATACTTTTTAGCAGATGAAGAGGTCTTATGCCAAATAATTTATAATTTGAAACATGATAATCTATTCTAGAAGGCAAAGTCATTTTAATCTATTCTAGAAGATAATCTATTCTAGAAGGCAAAGTCATTTTTAGCATTTAAAAAAAAAAAACAACAAAAAAAAAAACCCCCCAAATTCCACACCATGATATCGAATCCACCTTACAGTGATCCTACAGGGCAGGCAGAGTTGAACTGCTACTCCTTAGGGTTTCTGAGACTGTACATTTTTATGGAAGCAGACAGTCTCATCTTTCTCCTACAGAGTGGCTGGCAGGTTTGAACTGACAATCATGAAGTTAGCCACCTAATGCTTAACCCACCACAGGATCCAGGAGAATCAATTATAACAATTCACATGCTAACTCTAGATTAACTGCTAACTTCACACTGTCTAATTTTCCGTACCCATAAATGTAAAAGCACCTCATTATAGAAGCTGGTAGAACAGGGAGAAGGACTGGGAGATTAAGAAGCACTTACTATCTGATGTTATCTTTTATATAAGACTCTACTTAATTATCAAAACATCCTTACAGGTATCATTTCCAATTTACTAGAGAAAAAAATTGAGTCTTAGAGAATTAAAGTGGTGGTAGTGGTTATGAGCTGTGGAGTTGGTTCCGACTCACAGTGAACCTGTACAGGGTTTCCAAGGCTGTAATCTTTATGGGAGCAGAAAGCCTCATCTTTCTCCCGCGGAACACCTGGTAGTTTCAAACTGCTGACCCTGAGGTTAGCAACCTAATTCATAACCACTACGCTACCAGCGCTCCTAGAGAGGTAAAATAAGTAGGGTTAAATTAACTGGAAGAAGATTCATACTCTGGCTAGAACATAGGACACAGTCAATAAACTTTCAAAATGAATACTGAAGTCAAACAGAAGAAATATTTCACAATCAAAATGTTTGTTTTATTTTAAGAGTAAGAAAATAAACCTTACACTAATAAAAGAAATATAGAAACTACTCACTTTATACAAAAACATCATTTAAAACTCTATTTAAAAGCCATCATCAGTAATTGCAAAAACTAAGAAATCTGGATTTTTACAAATTGTGTTCACTTCTCCCTCAGGAATTCTTGTATTAAGATGAAGTAGCATTCTGCTTTAGTTTTTAATTTCCAATCCATTGTAGGCTGAGACAATAAAAATGTCAAATTTCTCTAAAACTTACTCACCTTCAGTACTTTCATCTAAGATGAGTCCAACCATTTGCAAATCCATTGGTCTGTGTGCCAGTTTGTTTGAGCGACACTGGGTACTTACAAATGAAGCTTTTAGGGCCGCGTACAAACTGTCCCAGAGGGTTTCTGAGGGAGTCCTGGTGTGGCGCTGAATCACAAGGTTGCTTTGAACTGCAAGGTTGGTGGTTCAAACTCACCAGCTGTTCCTGGGAAACCCTATACAGGGTTTGCTAGGAGTCGGAACCGACTCAAGGGTACTTAACAACAACAACCATCTTTATAGAAGCAAATAGTCACATCTTTCTCCTGCAGAGCAGCTGGGAGGTTCAAACTGCTAACTGGTGCCACCATGATTCCTCTACAAATGAACATGCAATCTAGTATTTTTTATCCTCCATGATGGATATATTATTAGGGATCTTAATGAGTCAGCACAAAAATAAAAATAGGGTTGTTAAACCATAAAAACAAATACATAACTTACCTGAATGGGTAACCAAAAGCAGCTGTAACCGTTTTGTTTTCAGAATCTTTAGAACATTGCACCAGAATTTCTGTTTTGCCCGTAAAACCTCCACAGGTGGCAAAAGCAAAGATGGAAGCGACCTACACAAAGCGAGACAGAAGAGAAACATTACTACAACTACAATATGGATCGTTCAAACTCGAAATCTACTGAGTACTGAAAAAACTGGCTCACTAGTGCTCTAGAAATACATTGCAAATGAAATCTAAATGGTGAAAATATTTCCAAATGAATTTATACCTCTCAACAAATGACATTTTATTTTTTTAATGTACTAGAGAAATTAATCCCAGTCCAGCTAACAATTCACTTGCTCATGTTTTTGTGTACCCACTGGAGCTCTCACCCATTACTGGGGGAATGAATGGAAAGCGGTACAACCACTGTAGAAAAATTTGACAATTCCTTAAAAACTTGAACATAGAACTACCATTTGGCCCAGAAAGAGTGAAGGCTGGATCATAAATAGAACCCCATATGCCAATGTTCATTGTAGCACTTCTACAATAGTCAAAATGTGGAAACAACCAAAATGTCCAACGGATGGATGGATAAATAAAAGGTAATTACACACAGTGGGATACTGCTTCATGTTATTGAGTCGGCTCTGAATCACAGCGACCCTATAGAAGGTTTCCAAGGCTGTAAATCTTTACACAAGCAGAAAATCTCATTTTTCTCCCATGGACTCAAATTGCTGATCTTGAGGTTAGCAGCCCAACACCTAACCCACTATGCACCAGGCCTACTCAGACATAAAGAGAAATGAAGTCTGATGTATACCACAACAAGGGTGAACCCTGGAAACATGTGCAGAAGGACAAACATCATATGAATTCACTTGCATGAATTAAGCAATTATACAGACTCCAAAGTGGTTATCAGGGGTGAAAAAGGGAAAGGCAAAGTTTTGCTTAAGTGACACTAAGTTTGTTAATGACAGTAGAATGATTAAGGAAAGGACAGCCAGAATGGTTTTACATCTCAAAGAATGTAATCAATGTCACTGAATCGTACATTGTACATTTAGATAATGGACTTTTCCCCAAAACCTACTGGAACCCCTTTGTATATAGCAGAAAACATTACCCTCTGTTTAAAATGTTCCACCAGCTTCTGAACTCTCTGAATAAAACCAAAGTTTATACCAGGCCTACCAGGGTTCTCTTATTTCTCACCTCATGTTGCTCTTTTCCTCTTGCCAAATATGCTCTACACACAATGGTCTCCTCGGGGCTTTTCCTTAAACACAACCAGCTAAGCTCTACTTTAGGGACTTTGCTCTAGCTATTCCATTCACATAGAAAATATGGTTCACTGCCTCCCTTCCTCAACTCCACTTCAATAAGACCTTATCAGAGAGGCCTTTTCCTAAACTCACCATATAAAGATAATAGCACTCCTCCCACCCCATACTAACTATTTCCTTTACATATGCTTCTGTTTTTCCTCTGAAGTCACAGGGGCGCAAATGGTTAATGCACTCAGCTGCTAACCAAAAGGTTGCAAGTTCTAGTCCACCCAGAGGCTTCTTGGAAGAAATGCCTGGTGATCTACTTCTGAAAAAAAATCAGTCACTGAAAACACTGAATCAATTCTACTCTGACATACATTGGGGTAGTCAAGAGTCGACTCAATGGAAACAGGTTTTGATTCTTTTTCCACCACTGTAAAAACCGCTGCTGATACAATTCTTAATAGTTTGTTTGCAGGCTTCCCTTCACTAGAAAATGTAAACTTTAATAGGCTTGGTACTTTCTTTTGGTCAAGGTCATACACACACCTAGCTGTTGATGTTGCTAAGTATGGTCAAGTCAGTTCCAACTCGTAATCCAACTGTTTAAGGTTTCTTTGCAGCAGCAGAAAGGTTGTGTTATCTGCATATTGCAGGTTGTTAAGGAGCCTTCCTCCAATCCTGATGCCACGTTTTTCTCCGTATAATCTAGCTTCTCTAATTATCTGTTCAGCATACAGATTGAATATGTATGATGAAAGTGTACAACCCTGGCACATACCTTTCCTAATTTTAAACCACTCAGTGTTCCCTTGTTCTGTTCTAACAGCTGCATCTTGGTCTATGAGCACAATTAAGTGTTCCAAAACACTCACACTTCTCAATGTTGTCCATAGCTTGTCATGATCCACATGATTGACATAATCCACATGATTGAAATCCTTTGCGTAGTCAATAAATCACAAGCAAACATCTTTCTGGTATTCTCGGCTTTTAGCCTAGATCCACTTGACGTCAGCAATGATATCCCTCATTCCACATCCTCTTTTGAAACTGGCTTGATCCTCTGGAAGTTCTTTGTCAATGTATGGTTTCAACTGTTTCTGTATTACCTTTACTAAAATAAAACTTTTACTTGCATGGGACATCAGTGATATTGTCTGATGATTTTCGCATTCCATTGGGTCACCTCTCTTTGGAATGAACACAAATACAGAGTTCTTCCAGTCAGTTAGCCAGGTAGTTGTCTTCCAAATTTCTTGGCATAGATGAGTGAGTACCTTGAGTGATGCATCACTTTGTTGAAATATTTCAAATTGTATTCCATCAATTCCCAGTGCTTTGTTCTTTGCCAATGACTACACTGTACCTTGGACTTCTTCCTTCAGGATCAATGGCTCTTGATCAGAAGCTACCTCTTGAAATAGTTGAACACTGACCTTTTCTTTTGGGGACAGTGACTCTGTGTACTCCTTTCATCTTCTTTTGATGCTTTCTTCACCATTCAATGTTTTTCCTGTGGTGGTGGTGGTTGTGTGCCATGGAGTCGATTCTGTCTCACAGAGACCCTGTAAATCTTTACAGGAGCAGAAAGCCTCATCTTTCTCCCAGGAAACAGCTGGTAGTTTAGAATTGCTGACCTGAGGTTAGTAGCCTGACTTGTAACCATTATGCCACCAGAGTTCCTTATTGCCCATGTTGTTGTTGTTAGGTGCCATCGAGTCGGTACTGACTCATAGCGACCTTATGCACAACAGAACTTAACACTGCCTGGTCCTGGGCCAACTCACAATTGTCATCATGCTTGAGCCCACTGATGCTGCCACTTTGCCAGTCCATCTCATGGGGATCTTCCTCTTTTTCTCTGACCCTCCACCTTACCAAATATGATATCCTTCTACAGTGACTGGTCCCTCCCTCACAATATGTCCAAAGTATGAGAGATGAAGTTTGGTCCATAAAATACTTCAATACCTCAAGTTGAGGTTTGAATTCTTTCTTCAGTTGCCTCAGCTTGAGAAATGCTGAGCGTGTTCTCTCCTTTTGGTTTTCTAACTCCAGGCCTTCACAAATTTTGATATTTTGACTTTTATCTTCTCAAGCTAACTCTGAAATGTTCTGTTCAGCTCTTGTATCTCCTCATTTTTTCCATTTACTTTACCATCTCTACACTGGACAGCATGTTTCAGAATCTTTTCTGACACCCATTTTGGTATTTTCCTTCTCTCTTGTCTTCTCAATGATCTTTTGTTTTCTTTCTGTATGATGTTTTTGATGTCATCCCACAACTCTTCTGGTCTTCGGTCTTTAGTGTCTAACGCATCAAATCTGTTCTTCAGATGATCTCTAAATTCAGGTGGGATATATTCAAGGTCATATTTTGGCTCTTATGGACTTGTTTTCATTTTCTTCAGCTTCAGCTGAATTTGCATATGAGCAATTGATGGTCTGTTCCACAGTTCCACAATTGGTGGTCTGTCCCTTGGTCTTGTTTTGACTGATGATATGGAGCTTTTCCACTGTCTCCACAGCTGTAGTCAATTTGATTTCTGTGTGTTCCACATGGTGAGGTACATGTATACAGTAGTCTTTTTACTGTTTAAAAAAGATATTTGCAATGAAGAATTCACTGGTGTTGCAGAATTCTATCATGCGATCTCCAGAATTGTTTCTATCACCAAGACTGTATTTTCCAACTACTGATCCTTCGTTTCCAATTTTTGCATTCCAATCACCAGTAATGACCACTACATCTTTTTTTT